ATACCATATGACCCAGCCATCCCATTACTGGGGATATACCCAAAGGATGATAAACATGCTGCTATAAAGACACATGCACACGTAGTTTACTGCGGCACTATCACATAGCAAAGACTTGGAATCAACCCAAATGTCCATCAGTGACAGACGGATTAAGAAAATTGTGCACATATACACCATGGAATACTATGCAGCCATAAAAAAGGATGAGTTTGCGTCCTTTGATTAGGGACATGGATGCAGCTGGAAACCATCATTCTCAGCAAACTATCGCAAGAAACAAAAAACCAAACACCACATGGTCTTACTCATAGATCGAATTGAACAATGAGGATCATTGGACTTGGGAAGGGGAACATTACATACCAGGGCCTATTATGGGGAGGAATGGCATTGGGAGTTATACCTGATGTAAAGACGAGTTGAGGGGTGCTGAGAGTTGATGGGTTGCAGCACACCAACACGGGCACAAGTATACATATGTAACAAACCCGCACGTTGTGCACATGTACCCTAGAACTTAAAGTATTTAAAAAAAAAAAAAATTATTTAACCCTTGTCAGGGGCAGGGACGGAAGGAGGGGGAAATAAGGAATTGCAGACTCTGTAGGACTGAAATAAAGAGAAATAAAAACAACAAAAAGGAATCCAGAAGATAGGACTTAGGAAAAAAATACACACACACACACACACACACACACATATATATTTGGCTAAAACAATAGGAACTTATTCTCTCATCAAGATGTCAGCAAAGATGTGCTCCCTCTGGAGGCTCTAGGAGAGAATCTATTCCTTGCCTCTTCCAGTTTCTGGTGGCTGCCAGCAAGAAAAATATTTTAAAACTATGAAAGAAAATAGAGAAAAAGACGAAGAATTTCAACAAAGCATTAAAATCTGTTTTAAAAGATGCAAATGGTAAAGAGTAGTTTTAAAATATGTAATTAATTAGCTTGTGAAGTTATAACAAAGTAGACATTAAGACAATAATATTTCCAGAAAAGAAAAGAAACATGTCCTAATAATAAAAGGGAAAACCAACAAGGAAGATAGAGCAATTATAAATCTGTATGCACCCAATAACATGACTGAAAACAGACATAAAGCAAATTTTGGGGAACAAAAACAATTCCAAAAATTAACAATCATATTGGGAAAATTTAACACAGCTCTCTCCAGAGATCTTAGGACAAGCAGACAGAAAAACAAATAAATCATTAAACATATAGGATATCTGACACACATAATAAATGTGAGGAATGAATAAAAGTAAAGCACTATACCCAACAAGAGATTACATACTCTTTTTGAGTGGAAACAGAACACATACCAAAATTGATAAGATGCTGGGTGATAAAGCAAGCCTCAGTAAACTTCAAAGTATTGAGATAATTAAAAGGATAATTTCTGATAAAAGCAGACTTAAACTGGAACTCAATAACCCAAAAATCTCCAGTTGTTTGAAAATTAAGAGATATACTAAATAAGCCAAAAGAAATCACAATGAAAATTAACATTTTTAACTGACAGTAATAATGTAACATCAAAACTTATGGCATCTAGCTAAGATTGCTTACAAATTTACAGCCTTAAATTAATATATAACATCATAAGATAAATTGGAAAAAAAATCAATGACCTACATATCCATCTCAAGAAATTACAAAGGAAGCAAAACTAAAAAAAATAAATTCTTAATAAGTAGATATTAATGATAAAAAACATACAATAGAGAAAATTAACAATGCTAAAAAGTTGGGTCTTTGAAAAAAAAATTCATATGGCTCTTGCAAAACTGATTAGGAAAAATTAAAAAGGCACAAAAAACTCATCTGGAAAGAAAAAGGCAACATCACTATAGATCCTAAAATCATTTTTTAAAATGAATGCAAGATGAAACGGAGAACGTGACAAAACAATCTGTGTTACAAATACAGGAAAGAAGTACATTGAAGAGGGTGGAGGAAATGGTTCTAACCTAAGTAACTGTGAAAATGAGTGAAGCCTATAAAAGCAAAAAACAAAAACAAAAAAAATTTATAAAAATAAGCACTGCAAGCACTGCATAGTTGATAAAGTTGTTACCCATGGGGGTACAGATTAATAATTTTGATAGTGCTCTCCATGTATACTGCAACTGAACAAGTAAGTAAATGGATAACAGATAATGGGAGCTCGGTTTCTCCCTGTTGGAATATGAGATTTCAGATATACCAAGTGAGTGGGCTAGAAAACTACATATGGTAATGGACTGGAGTTGCTGACATCAGTATAAAATCATGTTTACCTTAATAGAGACACAAATGGTTATATACAAAAACATTCACAGATATGTACGCACAAGTTAGTATAAACACATTTTTTTTTCCGTTTTTCAGCTAAGAAGGTCTAGAAACAACAACACACCAATAGCAACAAGCACCCATAGTGCCCACATCCTGGTTTCTAATACCACTCACTAATAAAAGCAACCAGGACTCCTTGGAAAAATCGTCGATTCTAGGACAAGGGCAGGAAATACACAAAATTTCTTTCAGTGCCAGAAAGTAAGGAAATGCTCAAAAATATAAATATATCCACAATGATGGGGCCTGTCAAAAGCACACAGGAGCCAACTGAAAGAGCTCTCAATGGCCAAAGCTAAAACAAATTGAACAAGAAAGTAAAATAGTATTAGATTATAACCCAAAGTATAAAATAAATATCCCTGAGTCCATAGTATTTCAAATAAATGACTGAAAAAATAAATGAGAGAGAACAAAATCTGAGCAGAAAAATTCCAAATCTATTAAATACTCTGCCCTAAAGGAGGTGTGAGTGTAACTGCCCACTCCTTAAGTGTGGGCTACACATAGTGACTTCCAGAGAGTACAGTATAGTGAGAGGGGAAAAAAACAGTAACTTTACAGTGCAGAAACCTGACAAATACTACCTCAACCAGGTAATCAAGATCAAAATCAACAGTGATGAGTCACATAGATAACATGTACCCTTGATATGAAGAGAAGAATCACAGGAGAACAAAAGCCAGGATAAGATAAGCATACAGAAATATAAATACTATATCCAGCATGGCTCTAAAAAGTATGTCAAAAATTTGACTCTAACTTTCCTAGAGGCCAAGTCAAAGAGAACAGAGTCAATTACACAGTTCACATTATTCTTTAAGTGGCAGGTTGGATAGTCAGGCAAAGCACGACTTTTCTAGCATCTGAAACAGAATAAAACTTCTTTCATGGCTTCTCATAAAGATAGTGCTATATCATAAAATGGAAGACACCCAAAATTAAAATTCCTACTGCATTTCTTAGGGCTATTTCATACAACATCCTTTAATCCAAGTCAGTGGCATTCTCAAGAGCAACTATACAAGAGAGCAAAAGAAAGTAGTTAGGTCCTAAGATCGATGGGTAAAATTGAGAAAATATATAAAATAAGATTAGAGACTTTAAGCAGTCCATCTACAGTGAAACACTATTACGTGCAATTAGGATTTTAGTAAGGTTTTAAGTTGAAATCTGAGGCTGTAATTTTTATCAAGACCAGTATTTAAATAACTTGGCTCAAGTACAGATCGTACACACTTTGACTCTTAATCAGGGAGGTGGTAAGATAAAGAAGTATTCATAAAAAATTAAGTCTACATAAAAGTCACGACTGAAGGAATGGCTAACCTATCTCTGCACATAAGTGCACCAAAAGCGGTATGGCCTACTCAGTCAAATTTTAGTGGTTAAAACAAAAGGGAAAATATTGATCTATACATAAGAAGAGAAACTTTCTAAATAAAAGCCTTTTAAGGAATATAAAGGAAAGCAGAAGGCAAAGGCAAATAAAATAATTTTTCTTTCTCTAATAATCACGTAACTAATGGCGATTTTAGACTATTTACATGGGAATAATTTGGAACTCTAAAATATGTTTAAGTCTTTAGTTTTTCTTTAGTTATCCGTAATGGTATAAAACATATTAAAGGACACACATTCTGCACTTAAGATATGTTCCTTGTTCTCTTTCAAATGGCGATTTGACTTTCTGGTTTTTTACGTTAGTTATCAAAAGGCCAACTCATTGAAAATAGCTAAAAAACAGATGAATAATAAGATGTTTAAACACAATAAGAAAAACTTAGTGGTGAACAATTGCACATTCCTTTCACATTGTACCTAAGTTAGCCCTTGATTTATCTTAGTAATAGAGCAACCTAAATGGAAATAACAAATGAATACTAAAATACTATTGATACTGGTTAAGAAGTGATAAGAACTAAATTGGCATATCTTTACTGCTGCTTTAGCTCAAAGTAGAAAGGTTATAATACACCTAATAATAAATGTAATGTTTCAAAGTATCCACACTAAGGAGGAAGCTAAATTCAGAAACTGAATAGCAAGCAAATCATCACATACTTTTTCCAGGTGGTATGTGGATTAAGTTTTAACAACCTTCTTACATGTCTACTGAACTTAAGTTTCTTTATGCATCAGTTTTTTAAAAAAAAAATCATTTTTTTCAAAGAAAGCTAGATGATTCTTCCAAACCCTAGTTGCTAAAATTTACTACTCAAATTACAAAAGCACTTATAATGTTATATATATGTAAATTTAGACATGCCAAATTGTATATTAACCAAAATAACTACAATTATTTCAAAAATACTGCAATTTTTCCAGTCTCCTTCATGTGTCCAAGCACTACTCTTCAAATATGGAAAATTTAGAATACAATTGTATGTTCAGTGAAAGTATCTATTACGGTAACATCTTACTATGTACATAAAAATGTCATTTTCTCCAAATCATATTTAGCATTTTACTTTGTAAGTCAATTTTTTATGATGATATTCCTCTCTTTAATTCACAGCAACAATAAGGATCAAATACTCTAGTTACAATGAAACACTTTGACTAAAATCAGGTATAAATTGCTAAAACTAGAAATATATTCAGTTAAAATGTATAAAACAAAGGCATTTAAAATATATTTTAAAACAGACATACCTATCCCAACCAAGAGTTCCTATCTCTTCAATAAGGCTTGAGTAGAACTGGGGAGGAGGAGGTGGTGCATATAGCTCTTGTCTATTCTTTAAGGCAACTTCCTGTTTAAAAGAAGAAAACCTGAATTGGCTGTGGAATGCAAGACAATGAACTGTTAATACCTGATTGCAAAACATAATTTCATTATCTTCTTAGTGCCTAATAAAAGTATCCATTGTTTTAAAGAAAATCTGGCTGACTCATTCCCCTGCTCATGAAAAAGCAACAAGAAAAAGTTAAAAGGACTGCACTGAAGGTCATGCAAAATGTCAATTTTTATGCCATGAAAAGAACTTATGATTTTAATATTTTCCTGGACTATTATGCCTACTGGAGATTTAAAAAAAAAAAAAACTTTTTATTACATTCATCCTCAAGGCTTCACGAATATCTCTCTACTCCCATGAATGTGATGTTTGATAAATACGTTTTTCAAAAAGTACCTCTAAAGAAAGGCCTGAACTCTAAATACATTACCTAAACTAACATATTTGTACACCATTATGAACCACATCTTAACAAACAAAAACCCCTCATTATCAGAACAAATATCTACATGCTAATTTCTTTTACTGACTTACACTCTGTACTATTCTTCAACCAGGTAAGTTGGAGTACTATGCCATCCATCTGGCTAGATTACAGTCCCGTTCCTTGCTAGGCCTATCTATGACGGCTTTACAATGTTTATGTTCTCCCAACCAAAACTAAATTCTTTTACAAGATATATAAAAATATCACTAGAATTGCTGAAGCTAAAGTTACCATTATTTTGAAGTTACTAACCTAGACAAACAGCTTATATGGAAAGTAAAAATAAATGTATCTACAAATTACTTAGATGTTCATATGGTCTGAAGTATCAAACGGTATTACAAAAAGTAAGTAAATAAATAAATAATTAAATAAATAAATAAGCCACAATAAATCACGGAAGTAGATAGGGACAAGTTGAAAATTATAAACACTTCTGACAAATATAATCCTAATAAAAGGTTGCAATTTTTATTCTTTTAAGTATATGTTTAATCTTAATTTTTAAGTATATATTAATTTTTTTAACAAGGATAGGATACTATTAAATTGAGATCATATTAAAAAGAATATATACTACAAAACAGCACTTCAAAATCAAAACTATTAACTGGAACTACTTCAATTTAGTTCTGAATCTGCTTTATGATGAAAACAAAACTGTGAAAGCAGATCCATATAGCTGAGAACATCAATATGGATTTAATTAGAGGGTAAGCGCCTAGAAGACAAGGTATATGCTGCCTTTTTTATAATATAAATGCTTAATGTTGACTAAAAATAGACTGATGGTCCACCAAAATAAATTCGTTATTTAGGTTGTACACCAACCTAATACTATGAAGATTGTGCTCTACTAGTTATTAAATAAAATGCGTTAATGTAGTATAGTACTTCTTTCGAAATTTGTTTTTGTTCTGAAATATTAATTATTGCTATCCACAAAAATTGAAGGTAAAAATAAACCTGGATAATAGTAAAAACATTTTTCAATCCTAGGTTTATGACATTTATACACTCTACCTTCTATTCTGAGTCAGACAAGTTACTCCTACTCTAGTACCATAACAGGTAAAAAGGCAAAAGCAGAGAAGCAACACATTCTTCACAGAAAAGAGGGAAAGGTACATAGCAGAAAGGCTTCACAAACAGCAGTTTTAAATCCTGACTTTAACAATTCCTATTTTGAGGCCTTAGGGTTCAGTGGCTCAGCTCCAAAATAGAAATAAAATAACCTACCACATAGGATTATTTTACAATATAGGTAATTGTTCACTTATTAAATATATACTGAACTCCCATTATATGCAGTTATTACTAGGCAACTCCATGGAAGATTTACAACATTTCCTGAAAAAGTTCAATAACTACTGATTTCATGTGAGCATCACTCTCAACATAGTTATTGGTGATTATAGTATAGGAACCCTATTACTAACAACACAGCCTAACAGTACACTAATAATTCTTATATTTTTAGGTATACTATCTTAAATGAGCAATAAAATCACCAACTTTGTCCGTAATTTCTGAAGAAAGCTAAAATACAGCATTTCATTTTTATTCAGAAATGGAATAAATGTACTAAATAGATACTGTAAATCAGAGATCTCAAAATTTTATTTTAGTTTTAAACTAGTAAGTGTTTGTTCAAAATTAAATGGCCAAGAGAGCTGTGACTTACAATGTATAAAGTTATTTTTGATAAGAAGAGTTTAATGGGACATGATACCTACACTTTTACTCTGGTTCCCTTAGTCTCTCCTTGTATTTGTATGGTTTATTAAAATTATAATAAAAAGATAAATGTTTCAAACTTTTCTCCAATGTCAAGGAGATGTAAACCAAATATGCTTCACTTGTTCACTTTATGTTTTTAGGGTTATTACATTAAGCCCTTTGATGTAATTTGTAATCAATTTTTGATAACCCTTATTAATTAGGTTTTATAAACTCATAAATCAAAATTCAAACCTTAGAAATTAATTTTAAACTATTATTCTAATCTCACACATTTAATCAAAGTCCTACCTTAAAAGGTTATTAGCATTGAAAAGGGACTCAAGAAAAAAATCTAGCAACTAAGTTATCAATATGTAGTAGTTGCTGCTAAGAACAAAATGGTCTCAACAAGAATTACAAAGAAATATCAAAACTTTCCATTGTTAGCAATATTAGTATTGTAATTTTTATATAAACTAACATAAACACGTAGACAGGAAAAGCATAAGTGAAATATAACAAGTAGAACATAACAAAAAACCATACTACAATGATGTTAACATTAGAAAACAGCATTTTCAGAGTAAAAGTGATATAAGCAAAGAAGTAAAAACCCTATAATGCCCATTTGAATTGTAAATATCAATACAAACTCATAATTACATTCTTTCCAAAAAGCATTTCTAGCTTTGTCCACTGAAAAAAACCTAGAAGTAACAGCAATAAACACTCAAGTTTCCAGATTGAGGCATCCAAATACTATTTCCTACAAAGAAATCATGATTCTTTGGAGAAATGGCTGATTACAGTTACGGGACAAAATGAATAAATGAGCCTGGAGCAACTGGTATCAGAAGGCAAAGAAGCTTGGGTTATATTAAAAGACCTCAGGAGCCAACATGAAGGGGCTTGTACTGACCAAAAAATGGGACAATTTAAGCATCAAAAAGAAAATGACTACGATAAATAAAAATTAAATATATAAAAATCTATGAGTTCACAAAGATACTTAAAAAAAAAATCACTTTAGATCTCTGTGACAGTTGCTAGGCACCAACTCATTATTCTAAAAATTGGTTTCTGTTTTAAAAGGAAAAGAAACAAGCACTTATCCAGTCTCTCCATTATGAGCTGTACCTCAAATTAACCAAAAAACTGATGAGAAGTTCTCTACAGAAGATTTTCAACTAAGAAATGTAGATGAAGGAATTTTTTAAATTACCATTTGTAAATCCTAATGAAACATTAGATATAGTCAATGATTATTATTAGAGGCTAAAATCATTAGGTGATAGGCTGATGGGGAACTTTATATTGAATGGATTTAAACGTATTGATCAATCTTAAATTTATTAAAAGAGTAACCAAGGAACCATCAGACATCACGTGCATCCTCATGTAATATAATAAATACAGAGCACCAGGTAATCTCGTAAGAACAAATGAATCCGAATCTGCTGAAGCCTCTAGACCTAAATGCCAGATTACAAAGAAAGTAGAGTATGTTAAAAGATAAACCAGGAATATCTTACAAGCCAGATCCAGAATGTAGAAGATTTTACAGGACACCCAATTTGTTTTATTCAACAAATACATGGCATGAATAAAAAGGGTGAGGTAAAGAGGAGATGCTGTTATACATAAGTACCTTGTAAGTCTTATATAAGGCTTAAGAGACATATTAACTAAATATAATGTGTGGACCTTGTTTGCATGCTAATACAAACAAAGCAGCTACAAGAAATATTAACTTTGTTGAGGTTATAACAGTATATTTAAAAACAGATAAAAAGCACTTAGCTGTTAAAGAGATACACACTGACCTATTTACAGAGGGATACATACAATGTCCAGAATTTCCTTTAAAATATTACAGTGTCTTTCTTCTAAAAAAGTAGAAGAGGAACTATGACTGGCAAAATGTTAAAATTTGGTCAGGCCCAGCAGTATTTACTATAATCTTCCCTCTTCTTTTGTTTATGTTGAAAATTGGGTAATAAAATGAACTTGGGTTTTAAGAAAAATGTCTACAGGATAAACTAAATAATCAAGTATTTTATGCAACGCTGATTAAACAGTATATATGTAACAGTACACATAAAGTGAAACCTAATACGTTTTTTCAGATATCTGTAGCTATAGACAAAACTATTTATACATCATATTATATCTTTAAGTAGGACTACTAAATCTCTTCTTAGATGTTAAACTCCCTGCTGACAGGCCAGGAGTGCATTTTATTTCTTCACCACCTGCCCAAAACTAGTGTCAAGAATACCTAGTTTATGATACAATCAAAGTGGTTCCTTCACAAAGTTATGTCCCTCATGCAGTTCAAGAAATGCATCACCTATATTTATGTACACAGTAAAAGAAAACATTAAATGACTGGGAGTTAAGAAGACAAATTCTAATAATGTCAGTTTTTAAAGGAGTTACAGAAAAGAAATAAAAACTTCCAGTATGGTAACAGCGTCAGAAAAAAAAATTCTTACCAAAAGCATCTTCAACTCCATCATAAAGCTCATCAGATCAGGAGAGTGCTGCATCCTCTAGATCAAAACATTTCCAATTAATTTCATTTGCACAATAAATATTCCATCCACTAAAACTGTAATAAAATGTAGGCCCAAGTGAAGTGAAAAAAAGATTAGCTATATCTACATCTGAAAAGTATAAGTAGTATTGGTCATCAACCTTACTACTCCTATCAATTTCATTTTGAAAGAGTAATTAATGTCCTCAAATCTACTTTGTTGAGATATATTAAACTGTGTTAGAATGTCACTTAAAACCTCACACTACTCTGTTTCTTGAGCACTGTATACTATTGAATCCCTTGTCCCCCTTGCAGGGCATGCGATGGGAGTCTGGCTTGCTTCTTCAGTGCCCTGTTGCTTAAACCTCTAGGTGAACATACAGACAGGCAGGCTGTGGGGCTCCAACCCCACAGCAGTGTCTAGGCGTGAATGTTTACAGCTACTTAAACCCCAGTGGGTGTGTGTTACAAGGTGCTCTTTTAGTTTAGCCATCCATTGGCAGCTTGTGTTAGCCAGCTCAATTAGACCCCTGCCTTATTGCAAGGACAGAGAACTTTCTGTATCCCAGGGTTCCTGCCTTGATGTACTGGAAGAATTGGATCACATGTGGGCTTGGAGAATGACTGCAAGATTTTATTGAGTGGAAGTAGCTCTTAGCAGATGTGGGAGCCAGAAGGGAAATGGTTTTCCCCTGGAGTCGGGCTGTTCAGTGGCCCAGGCTCTCCTACAACCACCCCGGCCAAACTCCACATCATTCTGCCGGTGAATGGCCTGCCGGCCTGCTGGAGCCTATCGGTGTGCTCTTGACATGATCTCGATGTCCTCTCGATATCCGGACACTTGTGTGTTCCTCCACTGATATATTTCTCTCGACGTCCAGCCGCTTGTGTGTGTGTGCCTGCTAGGGTCTCGGGTTTTTATAGGCACAAGATGGGGGTATGGCAGGCCATGGTGGTCTTGGGAAATGCAACATTTGAGCATGAAGGCAGGGGTGCCTGTCCTCACCTAGGTCCATGGGCACAGGCCCAGGGGTGGAGCCCTCACCAAGGACCTATCCTTCTCTACCCAGCACTTCTCTGCCGCCCTTCTGTATCACTACCATGTCTAGCAAATCTAGCAACCTAATCATAACTTTTTTTAAAGAGGAGGAGAAAGAGGAGGAGGAGGAGGAAGAGAAAAAAAAGAGAAAGAAGAGGTATAGGAGTGATGTGAGTGGGAAGAGTATAAAATATAAAAATCAGGCAACTCTATATAATTTTTAAAATCTAGTTAGAGCAATAAATTAACAATTATTAATTAACAATACGGTCTTTTTCTATTTTTCCCTTGACCTTAAAGACTACCTACAATTGTGATTTTTGTCCTCTTACAACTAATCCGTATTAGTCAAAACGGAGACAGTCATTCATTAAAGTAAAACCTGTTATAATAAAATGGCAAAAAGGAAATAATCTCTAAAGTAGAATAAATATTTAAGAGTTACAATTCCATTTCCTAGAAATTCTTCATTCTTAAAATAACTACAGAAAAAAATATTCTCAAGTTTTACACTGTTTTCAACAATGCATGAACACATTATGATTCACATCTTAACTCAGCTTTGAGTGGGTCTATGTAGAGCAAATTCTTGACTATCCCTTCTTCTACATTGTATTCCCCCGCCCCGCTTAGTTTATTACAGATGATCAATAAATGACAGGGTCTGGAAAGGTCTGGAAACTAAAGCCCAGAGGCCAAATCCAGCTCAATACTGTTTTTGTAAGCAAAGTTCTCCTGGCATGTAGCCATACCCATTCACTTACCTCGTCTATGGTTGCTATAAGGGCAGAGTTGAGTAGTTGCAACAGAGATCTTACGGCCTACTAAGCAGGAAAAATTTACTATCTGGTTCTTTACAGAAAAAGTCTGTTGACTCCCTGGCCCATATTTACTAAAATTAAACATGATACAAGAAAAGAATAGTAATACTCACTGGGACTGTAAAATAAAAAGAAGACTTAAACTAACACTGGGTTCTACCTAACCAATCAGAGGGCAAGGAAGAATAAATAATTGGGACTTTTTTCTAGGAATCCACTTGATAACCTGCTGGCGAAAAACAGAGTAATAGATCTTAATATTAGACTACATAAACCATTTTTTCCCATGCTATCTCAATATGTCAATAGATGCATTTCTTAAAGTTTAGTGTACAATATAAAAAGTAAAGGGGATGGAGACAGGGATAGAAAGAAAACAGACAAATAATTTGAACATATCCTTAAAAAACTTCTGTAATTATATTGCCAGGATGACAACCTTCATTCTATAAATCAAATAGTTTATCTCCTATACTTTTTTGCAGCTTTAATGCTTTATGGGAGAGTGACTGTGACTATCAGTTATCATAGATAATAACCTGCCTTTAAGATACAGAAATATAGAAAATCAGGAAAAAAAACACATAAACGCATAAAGGATCAAAAGAAACGCAATTCTAACAACTATTTTCCTAAAAGAAGAATTGTATTATGTCATTATTTTGCTTCAGTAACTGATTTTTTTTCTACTCTTTAAAGGAATTTTCAGGTAGAGGAACCTAAACATTAAGAATAAAGAAATTAATCCTGCCTATTAACACACTAAGCAACCTTTATCTCCCCTCATTATGCAAGTACACATGATCCTAAATTATTTCTACTACATCTTTTCTGTTGCTAATCTAGGACTAAAATCCCATTTTTGCCACAGATATCCCACAGCTCTAAATGGGTCTGATTTTTTTTTTTCCCTATCACCACCATTCAGTCTCAGAAGAAAAATCACTCAAGTAGTGATGGATATGGATAAGGGTGAATTCATTTGAAGAACCTAAAGTCTCAAGGATGGAAATCGGTTTCAACACAAAGGCTACCTGGAGATCTCCTGAGGACACTGAGATTTAAAAACACACAGAGATGAAACCTACAAAACTCAACAACTATTAAACCAGTTTGTTACCACATTCTACAAAGTAGGTCTTTGAAGAACAATAAATTTAGTAATTTCTTATCTTCACTTAAAATATAAACCTTCTAAAAAGGACTTACCTGCTGTACTATTTGATGGTATCCATTAAGTATTGTTCTCAGCTGCCAACTACATAACAATCTAAAATTTTAATGAGACAAAATGGTTTGTTCATTGTTCAGAATTAAAAGGAAAAACGTATTTGTATGTTAACACAAATATGCATGTACATACAAAAGAAGGACAAATATAATTTTGACAAGTTAATAAAATTTTTACCATTGATACTGTTCAAAGTCTTGTCTTCAAACTGTCAGTACTAATTTTATTCCAAAATATAAATAACTGCAATCAGTAAATGACAGGCAAACAGTACATCCTGTTTTTTAACTGTAACACATCCCAAGCAAAGTTTTCCACTGAAGTAGATTCTTTTCCAAGATAGGTTAAATAAAACCAACAGTTTTGATAACAATGTATCATCCAATATAATGTATCAAACATGTATTTGAAAAAGCATGTGTAGCAGTATTACTTTCAAATTCCTGATTAATATAACTAAAATGATACATTTTATTTTTATTTTTTATTTTTTAGAGACAGGGTCTGGCTCTGTCAGGCAGGCTAGCTGAAGTGCAGTAGAAGAACAGCTCACTGCAACCTGAACTCCTGGGTTCAAGAAACCCTCCCACCTTAGCCTCTCAAGTAGCTGGGACTACAGACACCCACCACCAAGCTCGGCTATAAAGATACATACTTTTAATTAATTGTATAAGAAGTGATAAGTTAATGTTCATCCATTTACTGGCTAACTTCTGCTGTGCTCCTGATACTATTAAGTAACTCTTCTTCTAAGGAATTACTTTTACTTACCTACAAGTAGGAAGCCTCTCTGAGTTTTCCCCCACATGGCCTTTTCAAACCAGCACAACTCTCTCCATTCTTGGTAGTTCATTCAAATGTCCATTGGTAACCCCTGCACGAAATGTGCTTTCTCTCCCTTGCTATCAACTTGGTGACTTCAATTAATTATCCCTTTATTGTGGTATCCTTAATTTATGTTCTGCTAGTTTTTTGTACTTAATTAACTTGTTCAAATACATGTATCTTTAAAGAACACTGTAACTCCTCCTTGAATGCATATCATTCTCTAACCACCTCTTTTTCTTCAAAATACTTTATACTTTCCTCCCACTCATCCAGTCCAAAATCCAACACAAATGGCTTCTGTCACCACACAAAACTTACTTGCATCTAACCTATCTCTCTGCAGTCCTCAGCAATGCTAACCATGCCTTGCTTAAGCCTTCTTTATTTGGCTTGAAAGACTCTGCTATCCAAATTTTCCTCTTTTCTGGTCAATCCTTAGTCTCCTTCTAAGTTCCCCTTTAGTGACCAGTACTTTAAATGTTGGTATGCCCCAAAGTCTCGTCACTGGCTTTCTCTTCTACGACCCCCACCAAAACTCCCCGCCGGACACAGCACCAAAAAGCCTATTCATAATCAAGGTCCCAAATCCTTCATCTGTTGTAACTTGCACATACATCTGCACTCCAGTTCTCATACTCTAGTTCCACACCACCATATTACTACCTACTAAATAGCTGCTCTTGATATTTCACACCCAGTATGACTTAAAACAATCTCTCTTCTACTTTTCCATCTGTGACTTCTTCTCTAGCTTAGTGATCTGAGCCAGGAATTTGAAAAGCATCCTCTATTCCTTTTTCCCTCTTACCTACACTTCCAGTGGTCACAAAATCCTCTCAATTCTACTCACAAATATCTTTGGATTCCTTTCCCTCCATTCTTCTTCAGAAATATTTAGAGGAAGAATTGAGATTTGGGGTGGTACCTAAATTTTCAGTCTCATATCCTGACTAGTTGTATCTACCAACACCCAATGTTGGTGCCTAATTTATGCCAGGACTGAACTGATGTGAGTCTTCCCATATAATGAATATACACATTAATAATATCAGTCAAAAGTTGGAAAAAATGTTTTCTAATCCTTTTGTACTCTCCCTTTATATACTTGTTCAGTATTTGTTTGGGAAGTATACACAGTTGCTGTTTACTGCTTTAAATTAAAAAAAAAATGAGAGAAGTAATGTTTAAAAGCACTTTAGTAACAGGTAAATATTTACAAATGCCACATTGGTTTGGAAAAATCAGAGATGTTTCTTTTGGGGCAAATGACTAATAAGCATTTTAGGCAAAACTCTAGTCACTAGAATCAATTTATACCAAATGTACTGCCTGTACCACCAAAATGCAAAAATGCACGTTTATAACTAAACACCGTATCACCTTGCATTCTTCAGTTGTAAATCTTCAGGCAACACTACTTTAAGGTGGAAGTCTCTTCCCTGTGGAAAATATTGAAAAGGATCACTCAAATTTTTATCTTTCACTTAATGCTAAAAGAAGTTAAACAGAATCACATAGAAAAGACAATGCTTTCCTTTATTTTCTAAAAGGTATCAACTTTATCCACATCTTTATAATTGTTAAAATATATGCAACAGAATATTGCATTTGAGGGAAAATAACTCAAAACTGTCTTACAGAAGCTTTGTAGTTACTGGGAAATCAAAACACTCAGGTAAGACTTTCTTTTTAAAGAGAAAGTCACTCATAAATACAAGAAATAATACAAAATTATTAATACAGGCCCATAGAAGAAATTTCAGTGTTATTTCTTAGGAAATAAATTTATGAAAAAAAAGAAGAAATTCCTTCAAACTGCTTTAAAATGGAAGAAAAACATCACAATATAAAATAAGGATATATAACATAATACAGTCTTCATGTTTACAGCTTAGTTTCTAAATTTTAATAAAATGAAAATATATTTAGTTACACAATCTATATAGACATAAGTGAAATACTTTCATAAATCAGAGTATATTTAATTCTCCCATTAGTGGGCCTCTAATTTTTCTGAAATCCTTAACATATTAACTATGTATCTGAACAAACAGAATTTTACTCAAGAGTCTAAGAAAGACCTCTGAGACATTTACTCCATTTTACTTTCTTGGAAAAGTGAACGGGTAAGTAGTTTAAACTTTGTAACTTAAATAGGACAATACACATGAAATTTGAGCAAAAATAGCAGAAAAAGACAAACAGAAATGTAATCTTTTCCTCCAACAGAATAAAATGAAAAAGAGTAATAAAATTCTCAAAAAAAACAATTACCATGTGGAATTTTAGCACAGTCTCCCTCAAAGCAGTTTCAAAAACAGAGGAACACAATTAAATGTACCCCATAACCTTTACTTTCATGGTAATATTACAGTTCTGACTTTCATTACATTTAAATGTCCTTTTAAAAAAATGAAACAAAATGTACTACTGACCTTTTCAAAAGGTCAAGTAACAATAATTCACTATTTCATTAAAGCACTAAAAGGTATTATGTAGTAACTTTAACCTAACGTTATAGACATCCCACACATAGGTGTAAGAACAATTTGGAATTCACACTTTACATGAAAAATAGAAGAACTATTCTACTATAGAAATCCGTGCTGTTATCTGAAAGAATAAAATTCCAAAGTCCCTTATTTGCAAAGCCCAGCCATTTTAAAAGGTCAAATAACATGTCACATGCCACAATACTTTCCTGATTCAAGAAAATGTCCAAAATTAGCCTTTTAGTTAAAGCATCTAGAAATATTAATTGTTCTCAAAAGACAGATTTTCCAGGCTTTCAGGGAACAGAAATACTAACAGTTGCCTAAACCTCCATCTCCCCACACATCATCCAGAAAAGCTACATTAATTAACATATTAAGAATAAATAAAACCACAAAAATCCCATGTTTTCAGCCAAAAGACAGGGTACACTATAAACCTCAAATTAGCTATAGGAAGAAAAATATAAAGCACTTTCCAACAGAACCTACTCTAGTACTCCCACAGCAACTATTTTTAGACTGCTAGGAAGGTCAGGAAAAAAAAATGCATGGGAGAGAGACTGGGAGGAACGAACAAGTGTAAAAAAATAAATAAATAAATAACAAACCCTGGTAAATCAGAACACTGACCTACAAAGAGAAGACTTAATGTGAACACAAAAGTCAAGGAGCCAGTCCTGGGAAAGAATGCTTTAGCGGTAGAAGATAGGAGAAAAAATAGGTAGAGACACCTTTTGGAAACTGCGTACTAGGAGGTAAAAGAAGAGTAGGAAACTTAGGCTCTTATATGAGTAAATAAAAAAACAACTCCTTCCCACCCAGCACTCGCCAACATGTCATCCATTAAATAAATTACACTTTGCTTCCCCAACAGAAGAGGGTATTCTTAAACTAGGAATTTTATAAACTATTGCAAACAGCCAGAACGTCCATGAATACAAAGATACTGTCTTCATCAATGCAAAGCTACTATGAGACAAAGAAAGAAAAAGAGACTCACAACATTTCAGGTGATAACAGATCCCATGTAAACAAAACCCAGAAACCATAAACAAATTATAATAATAAATGAAATAAATGAGCATTTGTATCAGACATTTTAAAATGAAAATGAGAAATTATATTTTTAAAAATGAAAAGGAAGAAATGAATGAGCTGAATAAACTCAGGGTGGAATGAAAATAAAGAAAAAGACAAAATTATGTGAAAGTGAAGGAATAAATTTTAAAAGAGTCCAAGGAAGAACAAAATTAAATACAAATGTCATAAAGGGCAAAGAAAAAGCAAGAAAATTACCAAATGAGAAAATGAGAAAAAAACTAAAGACCATCAGAGAAAAGGAGTTGAAGTGGAAAACAGACCCAAAAAAGTCCAGACTACATATAATCGGAGATCTTGGAAAGAAAAATAAAATAGTAGAAAAAAATATTTAAAAATATAATCCAAGTACACTTCCTAGAGATCACCATACCAAAAGGGTAAGAGGCCACATGATAAAAGTGACTCACAATGATCAACTCTGAGATATATCTTAATTAACAGACTTCCAAAATAAGAAAGTCCAAAGTCTCCAGGTAAAAGATCGAATATATAGGAAACAAAATATAATTGGAAACAGACTTCTTAAAGCAAATTAAAAAACGAAGCAAGAATGAAATAGAAAATGTTAAGAAACTGAAGAGAACTGCTTCTAGCCATTATGGAGTAAAGGGGGCAGGATTTATCTTCCCTCCTTATTTAAAAATGGGACAAAACATATGAAACAATGATTTTCAGATATTAAACAGACAGTGATCCTTGAAAGAAGGGAAACAAATGTAAAAATGCCTAAAATTATCTGTCTATGATGGGAGTATTTTCAGGCTGCAAGATAGGGATGGACAAACAAATGAGAGCATAATATTCTCCCTGATTTGGGAAGAAACAGATGATCAAGCAGAGGCCAACAATTGTACAATTCACAAGGTATACTACCAAGCAGGAGAGAAATGCATGGAGAGTACAGAAAAATACAGAGAAACTCCAGCGAATTTCAGAGGATTCCTGACAAGGAGTCTTCATCAAGGAGTCTTCAGCTGAGTACTGCTTGCTCCATGGATATGAGGAAAACACCCAAAGGTGGGAACGTACAGGAACAGAGTCTGCAAAACAATCTCTAAGCTCATACAAGGCTGGGTATAGCCATGTTCCAACCAGCCAGCGTGGAAACCTTGTAATATAAGAGCCATTAAATAGAGTGCTCAGAAGGTGTTGCTTCACTTGTAGAGCTTAATTACCTTAGAATAAAGTCTGCTCTGGGTCTACCTAGCAATGCTTAAAAGCTTAAAGCTTAAAATTACTTGGAAAGATCAAACTGCTTCCAAGTAATTTAATTGTAGCTCACAACAAATCTCAAGAATACTTACAGAATGAAAATATCTAGCACGCAACAGGTAGAATTCATTATGTCTAGTATACAATCAAGATATACCAAGCAAATACATTTCCTGCAAAGAAGCAAGGCAATACCCACAATGAAGAGAAAAATCAAGAGAAACAGACCTAAAAATGGCAGCGATAATAAACCTGATCTTAAAAATTAAAACAATTATATTTCATACATTCAAAAAGGTAAAGGAAAACAAGTGTACCAAATAGAGACAGGAAAAATTTAAAGAAAGACTCCCTCAAAAAACACAATGTTTGAGATTTTTTTTTAATATAGTATCAACAGCAGATTCCACCTTACAAAAGAAGGTATTAGTATACCTGAAGACATATCCCAAATAAAGAGAAAGACACTGAGGGAAAAAAAAGTGAACAGACCATGAGTGAGTTGTGAAAACTTAAAGTGACCTAAAAGCACATGTTTGGAGTCCCCAACACAGAGGACAGAAAAGGAGGAACAAAAAAAAAAAAGAATAGAAAAGAAAGAAAAAATAACAGCAGATGTTTTTCCAAATTAAATTAAAATATACACTCACAGATCCAAGAAGCTCCACAGACCTTATGGAGGAAAAACATGAAAAAAGTTACACCAAGGTACAACACACATCAAAGTGACTGAAACCAAGGACAAAAAGAAAAATCTTAAAAGCAGCCAGAGGAAAAAAAATATTCTATTTACATAGGAACAAAGAAAAGAGCAGAGATTTCTCATAGAAAACAGTGCAAGACAGTGAAGTAACATCTTTACAGTATCAAAAGACACAAAATTGTATAGCTGATAAAGCAATAGTGCATAAAAAATGGAATCCTAATACTATTTTAAGGCAGATCATGATAGATTTAATATGTGTATTATAAACCCTTTAAGCAACTAGTTAAAAAACAAAAAACAAACACACAGCCAATAAACTGGCAAAGGAGATAAAACAGAATTATAAAAAAGAATCCCAATAATACAAAATACAGAAAAATAGGAAAAAATTAAAAACATGTAAGACAAACAGAAAACACACAGCAAGAGTAGATTTAAATCCAACCATATGAATAACCATGTTAAATGTAAATAGTCTAAATACCCCCAAGTAAAAGGCAGTGACTATCATATTGCATAATAAAGCAAAGCACAGAAGAAACACACTTCAAATAGTAAAACACAAATAAGTTTAAAACAAAGAAGTAAAGATAAACTATGGTAACATCAATCAAAAGAAAGATGGAATCTATATGTTAATATTGGAAAATACAGATTTCAGAGAAAACATTATTACTAAAGATAAGGTCATTTCATAATCCTAAAGGAGTCAATTCATCAAGAGTGCTTAACGGTTCTAAAAGTTTATGCACCTAATAACAAAACTTCAAAATATATGAAGCAAAACTGATAGAAATTAAATAGAAATTGAAAAATCAACAATGATTGTTGGAGATTTCAACATCCCCTCTCACTAACTGATAGAAAAAGCAGACAAAAAGTCAGTGAGCATAGTGCTACCCAGTGAGGGCCTGGGTAGCACTCTGAAACAATTTGACCTAATATATAATTCTCTACCCAATAGCAACAGAATATTCATTCTTTAGAGTACACACAGTATATTCACCAAGATAGACTATATTATTGGTCATAAAATTAAGGCTCAATAAGTATTTTAAAAATTCAATCATACAAGTTATATTGTGACCAAAATGAAACTAAATTATAAATCAATAACAAAAAGATATCTAGAAAATCCTCAATATTGAGAAAGATAATCATATTTCTCAGTAAGCCATAGATCAAAGAAGAAATTAAAAGGCATTTGGAACTGAATAAAAACAAAACTATAGCACACCAAAATTTGTGTGACATAGCTAAACCAGTATTCAAAGGAAAATTTAAAGCACTGAATATCTGTACTAGAACAGAAGAAAGATCAATTATCTTCCATCTGAAGAAATCAGGAAACTTAAGATCAAAAAACTATCCAGATAGAAACATAAAAATAATAGAAAAAAAAATCAACGAAATTAAAGGCAGCTTCTTTAAAGAAATCAGTAAAATTTATAAACCTCTATCTAGATGTATCGGGGGAAAAAAAGGAGACATAAATTACCTATATCAGATGAGGATGAAAGGCATTTTTAACTTATATCCCTAAACTATTTGACACTCCTACCTCTAGGAGTTGGTGCCTAATTTCCCTTCTTTTGAACACAGACTAAGAAACTTGCGTCTAAAAGAATAAAGCAGAAGTAAATATGCATGACTTCAGAGGCTAAGGGATTAAAGACAATGTGCATCTTTATTGATCTCTCTGTTGTATCACACACTCAGGGAAAGCTAGCTGCCATGTTGTAATAACAGCCAAGCAACACTATAAAGATCCATGTAGTGAGGAACTAAGGCCTCCTGTTAAGAGCAGTAGCAAACTGAGGCCTCATAGCTAATAGCTACGTGAATGAGCAATCTTGGAAGCAAATCCTTCACCTCTAGCTTGACCAGCTGGCAGCCCAGGACAGCTCTGAATGCAGCCCAACACAAATTCGTGAACTTTCTTAAAACATTATGGGATTTTTGTTATTTTTTTTTTTAGCTTATCAGCTATCATTAGTGTATTTTATGTGTGCCCAAGACAATTCTTCTTCTTCCAGTATGACCCAGGGAAGCCAAAAGATTGGATACCCTGTTTTAGATCATCAAAGTCCTGGCAAATATCTTGATTGCAAAATCATGAGAGATTTTGATCAAGAACTACCATCCAAGTTGTTCTCAAATTTCAAATCCACAGAAATGGTGAGACAATAATTGTTTTTGTTTTAAGCCACTAAGGTTTGAAGTAAATAGCAGCAAAAGACAAGCAACATAGAGAGCATCATTACAGACCCTAAAGACATTAAAAGGATAATAAGGGACTATTATAAATAACTTTAAGCCAATAAAATCAGAAACCTAGATGAAACTAACAAATTCATTGAAAGACACAAACTACCAAAGCTCACTCAAAGGAAAGAGAAAATCTGGTAATAGAGACAACACCTAAACCTGATTATATATTAGGTCACAGGAAAAAATACCAGTAACTTCCATGGAGACTTTTTTTTTTTAAATAAACAATACTGTCTAATTACAATACAAGAAAAATTAGAAATCAGCAACAAAACTAAAAACCAAAAAGGACGTTCCACGAGAAAATTTTTAAAACCTATTAAGGTGCATAGTAAATTGACATCATATAGCTTCTAAGAAAGGTGGTGACAAGACTACATGTCAGCATCTATAGGATACTTTTGAAACAGTGATGAGAGGAAACGCAAAGCCTTAAAAACTTATATACATAAAACCTGCTCACTGGCCAAATCTGGGACAATTCGAGGATCAAAATAATGATTATAATCAAATAATTTTTTAAAAAGTCCATGCATCCATTCTAATATAATTAAATAAATGAGAAAGCAGGCAATGCTACTCCTTATAATAAATTGCCACTTCATAAATACAGAAATGACAAGAGTTAGAAAATCATCATTTGGAAACCATGATAGTAACAGTCGACTCAAGTAAAAGTCAATGGATGCTAAAACTCGAGAATGTGTGTGAAAGTTTGATGCCTCAGAGTACCTCCCCAAAAATACTTATGAATTACAAAAGGAGCCTCTGGCAGATGACACCTTAACCAGGTGATCAAAGTTAACATCATCAATAATGGAACCAACCAGGTAACTTCACAAGCCTTAAGAAGGACAAAACAATCTTTCTGTAGTTTCCCTGCCAAAAATGCATTATGTGATATAGTGAGGAAATATCATTCAAACCCAAATTGAGATACAATCTACCGAAGAGCCAACCTGTACTCTTTAAAAATGTCAAGCTTATAAAAAACACAGACTGAGAACTGTTCCATGTTAGATATGACAACTAAATGTAATGCGGGATCTTAACAATAGATGGTAGGGGATAGGGGGTATAAAACGTACAACTGTATCATAAACAAAATTTGAAATATGGACTCTTAGACAATAGTATATCATTAAATATCCTGATTTTGATCATTGTACTGTGGTTATGTATGAGTGTGTCCTTGTTCTCATGCAATTTATGCTCAAGTATTTGGGGATAAAAGGGAACTATGCCTGATTTAACCTCAAATGGTTCAGGAAAATAATGTGTACACGCGCCCACCCACATACATATACTTAACAACGATCAATCAAATGGAGAAAATGTAAACTGGTGAATCTAGGTAAAGGGTATACTGGAATTACTTGTGCTGTATATCCTTGCTAGTTTTCTGTAATTTTGAAATACACACAAAATATTTTTAGACACGTACAATGTTCAGGTTAAGATTTAAACAAACTGGTAAGGCAGGTACAAATTGGAACTGTAGCTACAGCAATGGTCATAAAAAACTTTCATCTAATCTCAATTCTAACGGCTGCACTTGCTTTCTAAGAGGCCTTAGCAGACATAGACATACATAATAGTATTTGCCTTAAAGTACCTAAAATTAGGTATAACATGCTTCCTGTAAAAAATATATATATATAACTTAATAATTTTTCCACTTTTCTAAATGTTGTCTAAAAGAGAATCATATTTTCAGCTAGGTAATTCAAGAAGAATACTTCTAATTGGAGAGGGAAAGGTGGATTAACTTTTTTCCATATGGAATAATGAATTTTAACCTCTACTTTCTGTGATGGTCATATGGTAATTCCACATATACTCAAAGACTATGCGTGATGTCGGGAAGCGGGCACAAGTTTGGTGTAACGGTCAGAAAGGAAAAGTCTACACTCAAAATCCTAACCTAAGGTACCCTGGTGCAATGTAGAGAGAAAAAAAATCCAGGACTGAACTGCGTTTAAGGGATTCTGATGTCATCATCAGCAAATAACGTCTCCGGTTTCCCATACCCTGATTTCTTCAATTAGAAAACGGGAATGATGATTCTTTTAAAAATTTCTGCCTCAAAGGGCTGAGGATTAAGTGAGCTATTTACCTGGAAAGCGCTTTGTAAACTTCGAAACCCTACACATGTGTTAGTATGTGTAAAAAACTCCGTAAGAGAGGCCACTGGAATCAGCAATGGTAATTAATTCCATTGCTGTCATGCTTCTCCTAAAAAATACTGTAACTGTGGGTGTTGAGGTACATACGACTTGGCAAAGGGCCAAAATAAGGTTGTCTTCCCAAATATTCTTTCTATAGGAAACACGAATATGATTAGCCCAGATTCCCGAGTGAACTCGTCAACATCCGTGGAGGTGAAGAGTGTTAAAACTGAGTTAGGTCAAAATTTACCACCAAAAAAAAAAAAAAAAAAAAAATCAAAGAACAGTCAATTACGGGACACAACGAAGAAGGAAGCCAAACTCAGGGAAGGGCGAGGGAGAGAGGAGGCGTGGCCCCAGCCCCGCTCCACGCCGCGCGCCTCCTAGCTCCTCATCCCGCGCGGAGACCACAGGGGTAGCGGCGACAGCGGCGTTTCTCAAACCTTCAGTCTCCCAAGAGCCGTTACGCGCCGCCCTTCTCAATCCCCACAAGTCTGGGCCCCTAACCTCCTAGCCTGTCACAGACTTCTGCGCGCAGCTACGCTGCAAGAGGCTCTCTTAGCTACAGAGCAACCACTGGGCGGGTACCTGAGCTGAGATGAATCCCTCATACACGGTTTTCGACCGGTTCTGTGGCAGAAGCAGCGGGCACTGGCGCAACAGGCTCGCCTCCGTCACCGCCATGGCTCCAAGTCCGGAGAGACACAGAGAAGCTCTAGACCTGCTGGGTCCTGCACATGCGCAGTCCGCTTGCGCTTAGACGCCGCGGAGCGGAAACCCGAGCCTTGGCGGGAAGATCCTGGAGGATTCCGCGGGCGGAAATGAAGGTAAAGCGCAGGCCAGGCCAAATGGCGCCCTGCTGGAGGCAACATCGGGGCTCCCCAACCGGTAGTGGGAGGGAAGATTGCGCTCAAGTCTGCAGGACTGACTGACCAACGTCATTCTAACCTCGATTGTCCCAGGAGCCCTTTTGATGATTCTGTTTGACTTTGTTGAAAGACTTAAAACTTTGGTGTTACATTTCCTCCAGAATAAAATGACTTTTACAGCCTGGACATTGTAGCACTTCTGTCTTAAACCTCTCGCACCCCCTTCTTTGCTGTTGTCCTCTCTCCCTTAACATACAGAATAATGTATTATTTTGTGTATCATTATAGTAATATGTATTATAACACATTCATTATATCATACATTACAGTTCTGTAGCTTACTAAGTTTAATCAGATATATTTGAGACACACTCACGTATATACGTATATATGTATTGATTAGACTCAAGTCAACAGTGGACTCAGTTCTGTGTATGGCACTCACAAATACAAAAAGCAAAACATGAGTGAAGACTGCTGATGGACTTGAACTTAATTTTCCTCTGACAGCCCGTGCAATATGTTTTTCTAACTCAGGAATGTTATCTGTCCCATCTTATTGAGAGCTGATTAAATAAGAAACTTACTAAAATATTTACCATATGATTATTTGATTTTCCAATTTTCCAATGCATCACGTGTTTGAGCCCTACTATTTGAAAAACATCATTGTAATGTGCCAAAGGTTGTGCAAAGATCGTTTTGTCCCCTACCTATCTTTATTGCCCTCAAGACAGAATTTGATATCCTGAAGATTCTTAAAGTTTGACAAGAATTGTCACAGCATTCTGGATGCTTACAGAAAAGAATGCTGCAGCAGTGGTTAGATATAAATTACATTAAAGCAGTGGTTCTCAAAATATGATCCCAGAACCTAGCAACAGCATCACCTGGGGACTATGTAGAAATACAAGTTTTCACTGCTGATGGGGTTCAGGATATGCTACCCCAAAATATGGCTCCTTGACATTTGAGAAAAACAGCAAAACCTAAGATCACTCTCTGACCTTCTCCCATCCTTCTTCCCTGAGGCGGGTTATTGGATCCTCAATCCAGAGGTGCTCTTCCTATACCCACAGGAAAGAAATATCCTTATCTCTAAAGAAACAGGGACATAGAAAATAATCTGAACAAAAAGACTTTTGACAGCTTACCCCAGTTTATTGCGTTGTCCAACCGTACTTCCCCACAACTGTCCACTGTTCCTTCTTAAAATGCACAGGTTTTCCTGTTTCTTTGGGCTTCATTTCCATGCCACATAAAACGTAAGTAAATTTGCATGCTTTTCTCTTATTAATCTGTCTTTTCTTATAAGGGACTCAAACAGGAATCTAGTTACAGGAAAGAAAGATGTTTCTCATTCCCTACAGGACCCTATTTCAAACCTCGGGAATCCCAAACTCTGGGAATAGGGCCCAGCAGTCTGTGTTTTAACAGGCTCTCCAGGTGATTCTGATGCATGCTAAGGTTTGAGTATCTCTGCAGGGTCAGGACATAACACCTGCTTTATTTTGCAACTCGGTGATTAAGGATGGCCATGCTACATTTTCTCTAATAAGAATAAAGTAAAGGCTGCGCAAAAGTGGGATCAACACAAAGATTAAGAGGACATATAGTCCCTTACTTTAAGCACTTTATAATTTATCTGTAAATTAAGACCTTTATTGTATCCAGTACCTTAAACTTCCCCACCACCACAGTTTCCCCCTTGGAACTTCTACCCTTTCTTGAAAGTTCTTCTCAAGTGCTATGTCTTTTTGGAAACCTTTTTGAATCTTCTGAAAATTATTGTTCTCCCTAATCATTTAGCATATTTCCTGTTGCATTGTAGGTGCTAATAAATTATTTACTAAATATCTTAATTTGGGTTGTTATAACAGAATACCATAAACTGGATAGGTAATCCACAGAAATTAATTTCTCAGTCATGGAGACTGAGAAGTTCAAAATCAAGATGCAAGGACAAGATTTGGTGTCCGGTGAGGAGTCATTTCCTAGAACACAGTCTTTTGGCTGTGACCTTACATCACACTCACCTTTACCACTGATAGTCTGCACAGTGTAATCACTTGCCAAAAGCAGTTGACTCCTTGATTCGGAATCCCCATAACTAGGTTATTAGACTTAAAGATTTCCAGAATATTTATTACTAATTTATCATCTTAGTTTTTAAAGAAAAGATATCCAAGTCACTGTTATTGGTAATTGAACTTGTAAATGAGCATTCCTTATCAATAAAATCTATAACTGAAGAAATCCAACGACCAGGGAACAAGGTAAGATACCATATAAAGACTTTTTAATTCAATTACTCGACTATTATCCTTAGGTGTTCAAGACTGAAAGTTGGATACTCACTACCATCATCAATTCATATGTGGTATGCTGGAACCATTGTCTATATATAGCCCATTTGAAGTCAGCCACCCCAGAAATAAAAAAAAAAAAAGAATGCTCAATATGTTTAAAGATCAGAAAGCCAAGGAACTATTTCTACCACCATCAGCATGATTTCCATTTTGGAATCACTCTGACAAACTGCACAACGACCCTCATTAAAGTTCAAGTTCCACAAGATATGCTAGACAGGATTTCATTTATATACTTTGCCACCAAAATTACTACTATTTAAATGCTATTGCCTGAGGAAGAACTGTATATTCTAACACAGAAAAAGATCCAAACATTTTGATAAATAAACAGCACAAATCCCAGAATGGTATGCTTACTATTACAACATTCATATTCAAATAAATAAGTAAAGTCACACTACATTACTAGGAATGGTTACTTTGGGGGATGGAGATGAGAACAAAGAATGGGGATAATGACACTTGGAGACTTTTATCTTTTATATTTTAATTTTTTAAAGGAGAATTATTAGTCTTAAAATTAAAAATTAAAATTTAAAATGCTTATACCACTCCAATTAGCATCTGTTATCCCTATTACATAGCCCAAATGTTCAGCTATGTCCCAAGAGTTTCTTCTCCCAGTTCCCACTAGTAATGGAAGAAGATAGGATGCCTGCCATTAACATTAATAAGATTAATAAGGGAGAAATTGTTTGAGTCTGCTGAGAAGAGAGATGAAGGGAGAACCTTAGGAAATGTGAAAATCAAGGGAAAATGAAAACTAGGAGAAAGTGGAGGAAGAATAGCCATTTAAACGTTTTCAAAAAAACTGGAAAAGCAAGCCAATAATATCCTATTCTCTACAACACTGTGTCATAGAATGGAAAAGACAGCAGATATTCAAGATTAAGGTATGATCAGGAGTGTAAAATGCTACCTAAAGGTTGAAAAAATTGAGAATTATCGAGAGGCCTTTGGATTTGATCATGCAAAAGCATTTATTAATTTGAAAGATCAGTTTGCTCTTGCTTTTTTCTATCGAGACACTAAATAGCAGTTTATAAATTGTGATGTAGTGAATAATTTTTCAGCCTTGAGAAGAGCATATTCATAAGAAATAAACTACAAAGACTTAATTATGTGACCAAAGTTTGGTACAGTGATATATGAAGAAGATAATCTGGCTCCTACAGCCCTACCCCAACTCTTTTGGAGCACACTCCCGTGGTAGGTAGGTTTTACCGACAATGAGACTAGATCCATTGCAGGTACAGAATAACAATTTCTGCTTCACTCTGAGCTGTAGACTTGAGGAGCAATGATACCCACAACCCAACTACAGGTAAACAAAAGACCATTTAAGGGTTAAGTCTGCTAAAAGAGTTGATGGGTTACAAAGATTAGCCTAGAATCAGAAGAATATTTATAGGGTCATCATCTAAAGACAGCGTAAGAAGGTAAACAGGCTGTTCAAAAGTATAGAAGAATCCAGATTATTAAACAACCCTCTTCTTAGCAAAGTACAAGGACCCTCTTCCCAGGAAACATCATCCCCACACCCAGCGAAAGCCACTGATTAGAGAGATTAACAGCTCTTTTGTACTTTTTAATGAGCAACTGGGATAAATGTCCTCAGATTACTAGCATCTAACAAAAATTACAACTCAGGAAATAAATGTTGCAGTTGACAGTGGCAGAATAGAAGAGACCTATTTACAGGGGGTGCAAACTTGAAAAGGCCACAGTTGTAGAGGTTAGGAGAAAAAAGAGAATAATAAGTACATAGGATTAGAGAAGAGTAGTTGTTAAGAGGAGGATGAAGGATGCAGCAAGAGAAATCAAAGGGAAAAATTACGTATGTTTATTGTGAAATTCTGCTTGAGGCTAATCAATCCCACTTGCCCGAAGACTCCAAAAGGAAAGCAATTCCATCCCTGAGAAAAGGACTTTCTACATCCAAAGAGGAAAGAAGATGCACAAATCCCTCACTTTTACTCTGGAAAACTCGAGCTAATAGATCAAAATGAATGAGAGGAAACAGATTTAATCTTACTCATTCTCAATAAAAGTTCTCAATACTGTCCCTAAATCATCAAAATCATTTTAAAATATTTTAATATATAGGTGCCTAGATGATGCTGAAAGGTTATCGAAAGTATGATCTCTGGACCAGCAGCATCGGCATCACCTTAAAAGAACACACCAACTCAGATCTACTGGATCTCTCATTTCAGGAAGAAGGGTTCAACAATCTGTTTTAACAAGTATGTGTGTAACAAATTCACGGGCCAGGTGCGGTAGCTCATCCCTATAATCCCAGCACTTTGGGAGGCCAAGGCAGGCAGATCACTTGAGGTCAGGAGTTTGAGACCAGCCTGACCAACATGGCGAAAACCCATCTCTACTAAAAATACAAAAATTGACCAGGCATGGTGGTGCACTCCTGTAATTCCAGCTACTCAGAAGGCTGAGGCACAAGAATCCCTTGAACCCGGGAGGCGGAGGTTGCAGGGAGCCGAGATCACACCACTGCACTCCAGCCTGGGTGACAGAGTGAGACTGTCTCAAAATAAAAAATAAAAAACAAAACAAAATAAAAATTTATGTTTTAATTAGGCAAATCTGATACAAGCTAACACCACTACCCTAGACTTAGTAAACCTAAATTCTCATATCTGATTCTATTGTGCTGCTATAATTGAAAGTCATTGCATTAATCAAATGAATAATTGTTCAGACAGAAGTTTTACAGTGCCAAACTCAGAGTTAGCCTGGAACATAGTTAAGGCTTAGAGGATATTGGCTAAATGAATGTAGTTTGTTAGTG